GTTCCTTTTACGCTACTGGGTACGGCCCTGACCCTGCCCTGACCCCGCCCTGACCCCGCCCTGGCCCCTCCTCCCTTCTGGAACCCACGAGCAGGTTCCAGGCGCCTCCAGATGGGGTCCTCCGTGACCCTTGCCCCAGTTCCTCCGCCCTGCCAACTCACAGCCTAGCTGCTCACGCCCTCACCGGCGTGTGCGGTATGTCTACCGCAGTTGCCGCTGCTGTCCACCAGGTGGCGCTATCACACGACATTTCTACAGGATGGTGAAAAAAAAATCAACACTTTTGAGAATTTGCAACAACACGAGAAATGTACCTTCGGGCTGCGGAGACCACCTGGAGAAGATCCCAGGCGCGCGTCGACAATGATGGCGAACGAGTGGAGACTCTGTGACTTCTTGAAGCTGTTAACATTAGATTTGTTATCATATTCTTGGTTCTTTCAGGAAAAATCACGTAGAAGGGAAATAATAAAATAATACAAATTAAAGATAATACAATTAAATTCTCACGACGTTTCGGCCACAACGCAAGCAGCCGTCCTCAGGTGAAGAACAGGTCTGTCGGGAAAGACAGCGTCCTAATTAGGATGCTGTCTTTCTGACAGCTCTGTTTCCCTGCAGTCACGAAAACTTTAAATCGAAATTTGTCATCATGTTACATTCTATATTATCCGTTCTTTTTCCGTGAAAACGATAGTCCCATATAAGTGTTAACATTTTTGTTAAGCAACCTGTGTGTGTATATATATGTGTGTGTATATATGTGTGTATATGTGTGTGTGTATATGTGTGTGTATATATGTGTGTGTGTATATATATGTGTGTATATATGTGTGTGTCCGGCAAAACAACCTCCTACCTCCTCGCGGTGCCGGATGGGCAACACTGTCGTGGGCAGTGCTGTGGGGGGAGGGCCAATGCCCATTGGCCTCTCCCCTCATGGCGTCTGTGACCACCACAGTGGCTAAACGGGGGCTCTGGACGGGTGCGAGGGGCTGGTAACCCCTCCACCTTCAATTAACCACCACTAAACTACGAATTAAACATAAACCTGTAACAAATAAGCTTGTGCCGGAGGCCCCGGGGGGTCAGGCTTTTATGACGTCTCCTGGCCAAACCCCATTTGGCGGAGCCAGGAGATTGAATTTTCACCCTCGGGGCTCCTCCAGAAACAACAAAAAACCATTGCGGATGGCCACGTGGAATGTTCGAACGCTCACTGCGGAGGAGAGGCTGCCACTCCTCTGTCGGGAGCTGGACCGGTACCGCCTGGATCTCTGTGGCATTCAGGAGGTCCGGTGGACCGGTTCTGGCTCCTGCCACCATGAGGGGTGGACAGTCCTCTACTCGGGGCAGGAGACTGCCAAACAACAGGGTGTGGATCTTCTTCTGAACAAAAGAATGAAGGGGGCGTGGGAGCGTGGCGGTGAGGTGTGGGAAGCTGTAAGCCCTAGGATACTTTGGGCTCGCCTTCCCATCAACCAGAGGCGAGGAGTGGTGGTCGTGGTTACTTATGCCCCCACCGAAGACGAACATCCGTGGAGGGATGCAGGCAAAACCGATGAGTCAGACGCTTTCTATGACCTCCTGTCACAGGTGCTTGCTAAAGTGGCCACTCGGGACAGAGTCATCTTGTTGGTGACTTCAATGCCCGAGTTGGTCATGATGCTGGCACCTGGTCTGGAGTGATTGGAAGGCATGGGCCAGATCAGCTCAATAATAATGGTAGGAGGCTGCTAGATTTTTGTGCAGCCCATGGGCTTGTAATTACCAACACGCTCTTCCGGCATCGGCGCATCCACACAACATCATGGATACATGCCAGGTCCAAGCAAGAACATCTGCTGGACTACCTACATCTCTGCTTTATTGACCTGGTCAAGGCCTATGATACCATCAGTAGGACTGGGCTCTGGGTTGTTCTTCGTGCTTTCGGAGTCCCTGACCCTCTGCTCACGATCATTAAGGACCTTCATGATGGTGAGCGGGCCCGGGTAAAACTACGTGGCCGGGAGTCGGAGCCTTTCCCTGTACACCTTGGGGTGCGACAGGGATGTCCTCTGGCTCCCACATTATTTAACATCTATTTTGACCGCGTAGTTCGTGAAGCCTTCAATAGCTGTACCGGGGGAATTTCCATTTGGTACAGATACAATGGGAGGCTTATCGATGCCCGGGTGCGATCAAGGGATGGCTCCCTATTGGTCAACCATGTTATGTATGCCGATGATTTGGTAATAGCTGCTCATTCAGAAGAGGAGTTGGAGACGCTGCTGCTGAGACTGGAGCGTGCCACTAAGAGGTGGGGCCTTACCATCAGCCCCACCAAAACTAAGCACCTTCCTGGGTATTTTGTACCATCGGACACTCCACCCCCACAACTCCCAATTGGTGATGGGGCAGTAGTGGAGAGAGTGGAGAGTTTCCCATACCTGGGCAGTGTGCTTATGACCGGCTCCAGTTTATCAGCAGAGGTCTCCGAATCAGTCGAGCGGCAATATCTTTTCATCGGTTGCGTAACGCTGTGTGGAAGCTACCTGGTCTGTCGCTCCGCACGAAGCTTCAGGTCTTCTCGGCCACGGTCATTCCCTCCCTTCTCTACGCTTGCGAAACGTGGACCCCCCTAGTGGAGCATCTTCGCCGGTTGGAAACATTTAGGCTGGCCTGCCTACGATCCATCCTGGGTTTAACCAGGCTGGATTGTGTGAGGAGCTCACAAATCCTTGAAAGATCTGGGCAAAGTCCCATCAGTGAGCTCCTCCGGCAGGCAAGGCTGCGTTGGCTGGGTCATGTAGCCCGCATGCCCAGCCACCGCATGCCTAAACAGCTTTTGTTCGGCCGGATCGAGGGGGCTAAACGGGCGCGGCACGGGCTGGAGAAGAGATGGAGTGATGTGGTACAGGAGGACGTGGAGCTGAGTGGACTTGCCGATGACTGGTACCAGCGGTGTCAAGATCGGCCTCAGTGGAGGAGGCTCGTGAAGGACGCTACTGGGCAGTTGGAAGCAGTCGCCCTCCAACAACAACGGAGGGCGGAGGAGCAACGCTCACAACAACGAGCGGAGCGCCGGGTGGCTAAAGCACAGCAAGTTGGTACAGTAGGGGGCACAGGTGGTGCATCAGCCAGTCATCTCGGTCATCTCGGTCAGTCGACCCATGGCACCTGCTGGGTCTGCCCTGTGACCTCCTGCCAGCGGGCGTTCGACACTTCACGTGGCCTCAAGGTGCACTTGGCCTGGCACAAGCGTCGTGGTGACGTCACCGCCACTTAGTGGCGAATGGCGGTTGTTGTTGTTGTTGTTGTGTATATATGTGTGTGTGCGCGGCACGGGCTAGAGAAGAGATGAAGTGATGTGGTACAGGAGGACGTGGAGCTGAGTGGACTTGCCGATGACTGGTACCAGCGGTGTCAAGATCGGCCTCTGTGGGGGAGGCTCGTGAAGGATGCTACTGGGCAGTTGTAGGCAATCGCCCTCCAACAACAACGGAGGGCGGAGGAGCGACGCTCACAACAACGAGCGGAGCGCCGGGCAGCTAAAGCACAGCAATTTGGCACAGTAGGGGGCACAGGTGGTGCATCTACTTGTCATCTCAGTCGACCCATGGCACCTGCTGGGTCGGTCCCGTGACCTCCTCTTGTACCTAGCCTGGCACAGCAGTACAACCCATGGCACCTACTGGGTCTGTCCCGTGACCTCCTCCTGCACCTAGCCTGACACAGCAGCACAACCCATGGCACCTGCTGGATCTGTCCGGTGACCTCGTGCACCTAGCCTGGCACAGCAGTACAACCCATGGCACCTGCTGGGTCTGTCCCGTGACCTCCTCCTGCACCTAGCCTGGCACAGCAGTACAACCCATGGCACCTGCTGGGTCTGTTCCATGACCTCCTCCTGCACCTAGCCTGGCACAGCAGTACAACCCATGGCACCTGCTGGATCTGTCCGGTGACCTCGTGCACCTAGCCTGGCACAGCAGTACAACCCATGGCACCTGCTGGGTCTGTCCCGTGACTTCCTCCTGCACCTAGCCTGGCACAGCAAAACAACCCATGTCACCTACTGGATCTGTCCCGTGACCTCGTGCACCTAGCCTGGCACAGCAGTACAACCCATAGCACCTGCTGGGTCTGTCCCATGACTTCCTCCTGCACCTAGCCTGGCACAGCAGTACAACCCATGACACCTGCTGGGTCTGTCCCGAGACCCCCTGTCAGCAGAGAGCCTTCGACACTTCCTGTGGCTTCAAAGTGCACCTAGCCTGGCACAGGCGCCGTGGTGATGTCACCGTCACTTAGCGGCAAATGGCGCGCGTATCGGTATTGTATTTTTGGAAATTTGATTACATGGATAGTTTTGTTTGCTACTCGAATCCACTGAAGGTAAGTTTAACACGTAGTAGGCTGTCGCAAACAATATTATTCATTGGTCCACGCCAGCTGTCTCTGGTGTGGACCAATCAGTTTCAAGGACAATGCATAAATTATCAGAGTATTGTTTTTTGTTTGCATTTGACTGCAAGTATTGTGGTTAATGTAAGCATGATTCCTTGCAAAAGGTGTCAGTTTTGTTGCCAGAAAAAAGGGGAAAAACCCTATTAGTATATTTTGGTACTGGCAAAGGAGGTCCCGTGATCTTAACACGGCTGTTTTGTTGCCAGAAAAAAGAGGAAAATCCCCATTCTCATTAGTGACGTAGCTTGTGTAAAAGGTTTAACTTTGGTGTTGTAACATCTTCACACGTCTATTATCATTAGTGACGCTGCTTGTGCAGTAGCACACCCACCCCTTGGACTAAAGACCCCATGCAGTTATCTCACTTCCTTCTTTGAAGTCACCGCTGTCTGGGCAACCTCACCTGGCCTCGTCGAACACGAGAGGGGATGGGGGTGCTGAGGCATCCATTGGGCTGTCAGAGTGTGACGGGGGCAGGTAGCGCCTCCCACTGTGCATTTATAAACACTCACGCAGAGGTAATAGCCACTCACACACACTTACACACACACTCACACAGAGGTGACAGCCACACACACACACTCACTCACACACACTCACTCACACACACTCACACACAGAGGTGACAGCCGCACACACACACTCACACACTCACACGCAGAGGTGACAACCACACACACATACTCACACACACACACTCACACACAAAGGTGACAGCCACACACACACACGCGGTGCCACTGAACGCGTGCATCGAATCATCATCGGTCACTCCACGGACCTGTGACTTGGGCTAACAAATGTGAGTATTCAACTCTGTGCGAGTGTCTGAGTGTGTAAGTGCACCTAGCCTGGCACAGGTGACGTGGTGACGTCAGCGCCACTTAGCGGCGAATGGCGCGTATTGGTATGGATGTTGGACTTCTTTTGCACCGTACGTAGCCAACCGTGGCTAATCGGAGGTGTGGCTTGAATGACAACAATCTAAATACAACAACAACAGCAGCACTCAGCTCTCAAGGAATGAGTGTTCGATCTCGATCATTTAAAAGTGGCCTCCTAATATCGCAAGGAAGAGCGTTCCAGACGGCCGCAAAAGCGCATCTCAAAGCGTGCGAGGCGGTGTGTGTGTGTGTGTAGGTCGACTCAGCCTCAAATGTGTACTCTGTACGGTGTGTAGCCAACATCGCCACTAGGGAGACAAAGGCGGTCGGGCGTGGTACTGGCCACCCACCCCCTCGTGTGCCGTGCCGGCAGCCTTCATAACAGAGGTCGCAACCGGGTACCCGATACCCGTACCCTACCCGATACCCGGCAACCCGTACACGGCCGGGTACGGGTACGGGTACCCGTTTGCGACCCTGGTGCGGCCAGGTACGGGTACGGGTAAGGAATCAAAACCCGTTTGTGACCTCTGCTTCATAGCTGCTGCTACTCGCTAACAGCACTTGCCCCTACAGTCTGTTAGAGGCTACACGGGGGATCTTTGTGTAGGTGAGCGAGTTGAGATCTTTGATCTTTGAACTTTGTGTGTGCTGAGCTGTAGTGTAGCGGGTAGCGCTACGAACCCGGCGACAGGAGATGGGTTCCCGCTCACGGCCAACACCGCCGGTCACGATCATCTGAACCGGTCCCGGGCCTCCCCTAGGTCAACTCAGCCTCCAATGAGCACCTCCAGCGGTGTGTAGTAAACATCGCTAGCACTTTTTCTTCTTGGTTCTTTCGGTAAAGTCACGTAGAATGGAAATAATAAAATAATAAAAATAAAACATAATAAAATAATTCTCACGACGTTTCGGCCACAACGCAAGCAGCCGTCCTCAGGTGAAGAACAGGTCTGTCGAGTAGACAGAGTCTGAATGACAGACCTTCTCTCCACCTGAGGATGGCTGCTTGCGTTGTGGCCGAAACGTCGTGAGAATTAATTTATTATGTTTTAGTTTTTATTATTTTATTATTTCCATTCTACGTGACTTTTCCGAAAGAACCAAGAAGATGAATCCCTGCAGTCACGAAAGAAGCTTTAAATCGAAATTTTATCGCTAGCACTGTGGGAGACACAAAGGCGGCCGGGCTTGGTGCTGGCCACCCACCCCCACCTCGTGTGTCACAGTGCCGGCCGTCGTAGGCGCTACAGGCCAATAACACTTGCCCCTACAGTCTGTTAGAGGCTAAACGGAAATCGTTAGTTTTGTATTTCACGCGCATACATCTACGGTGAGTGTACAACACGGACGGGTTTATAAGAGGAATATGCGAACATTGGCGTCGTGACCTTCACCAGGTAAGGAACCGGTTGGACTCCGCTCTGTGGTTACCGGTCTCAACCGGGAGATTCCGTGACACTTACTTTTCTCACTACGAGATTCAGGCTTCGTTCAGATTCACTGCCCCTTGTGAGTGACGTCCTTTATTTAACCACCAGTTGAGAGCGCTCCCATTGAGAGTCATTGCCCCTTGTTATTGGCGTCCTTTATTTAACCACCAGCTTAGAGACCTCCCATTGAGATGCATTGCCTCTTGTGATTGACGTCCTTTATTTAACCACGAGCTGAGAGCGCTCCCATTCAGGTGAACGGTCTCGTGTTGATGAGTCTTGCCGCACGGTGAAGTGGGATGTTGTATACTAGATTTGTGTTTCTATTTCATTTATACCTGATGATGATTGCTTGTGTTGCAATCGAAACGTCGTATGCTATTATTTTATTTATTATTTTATATGTATACGTGACTTTAACCTAAAGAACCAAAGAGTAATTCCTGCAGTCACGAAAGCTCCAAATTAAGTTTGGGATGTTGTGACTGCCAAACGATGAACTAATTTGTTAACCGTTTTGTAACTTGTTCATTTTACAGAATTCCTGTTCTACGTTCGTCAAGAAATGGCCCTGATATCTACACTTGGAAGAACAACAACAATGTTCATGATAAAAATAGCATTATTTGGTAAGTAGCATCATCATCACCACCACCACCACCACGTGTTGCCTGTAACAGAGTGTTGGGGCAAGCGCTGAACGAGGGCTGAGGGTTGAGTGACTGGAGCAGTGGTCACGTAGGGTCACGTAGGAGTCACGTGGGGGTCACGTGGGAGGAGCGGAGTAGTGAGACGCAGTGGAGAAGAGGGGAGGAGGCTCTCAGAGCGGAATGGAAGAAGGCTAAGAAGGAGGAGGAGTGCTTCATGTACAGGGGCACTGCTGAGTCTATGTGTAGCAGTGTTGAGTCTGTGAGTAGTGTTGAATCTATGGGTAGCAGTGTTGAGTCTATGTGTAGCAGTGCTGAGTCTATGAGTAGCAGTGTTGAGTCTATGAGTAGTGTTGAATCTATGGGTAGCAGTGTTGAGTCTATGAGTAGCAGTGCTGAGTCTATGAGTAGTGTTGAGTCTATGGGTAGCAGTGCTGAGTCTATGGGTAGTGTTGAGTCTAAGGTAGCAGTGCTGAGTCTATAGGTAGTGTTGAGTCTATGGGTAGCAGTGCTGTGTCTATGGGTAGCAGTGTTGAGTCTATGTGCAGTGTTGAGTCTATGTGCAGTGTTGAGTCTATGGTGCAGTGCTGAGTCTCTGGGTAGCAGTGCTGAGTCTATGGGTGGCAGTGCTGAGTCTATGGGGAGTGTTGAGTTTATGGGCAGTGGTGAGTCTATAGGCAGTGTTGAGTCTATGGTGCAGTGTTGAGTCTATGGGCAGTGTTGAGTCTATGGTGCAGTGTTGAATCTATGGTGCAGTGTTGAATCTATGGTGCAGTGTTGTCTATGGTGCAGTGTTGAATCTATGGTGCAGTCTGAGTCTATGTGCAGTGCTGAGTCTATGGTACAGTGTTGAGTCTATGGTGCAGTGCTGAGTCTATGGTACAGTGTTGAGTCTATGGTTCAGTGTTGAGTCTATGGTGCAGTGTTGAGTCTATGGTGCAGTGTTGAGTCTATGGTACAGTGTTGAGTCTATGGTGCAGTGTTGAGTCTATGGTGCAGTGTTGAGTCTATGGTGCAGTGCTGAGTCTATGGTTAGCAGTGTTGAGTCTCAAGGTGTTATCAGTTTTGGCACGAGCACAGTCCACGTGCAAGGCGTTACACAAGCTCGTCACTCAACCATAAATCAATTCATAAAACTCGGCCGGTACGGCACACAAGTAGGTGGGTGGCCAGCACCACGCCCGCCCGGCCGCCTTTTGTCTCCCCCCTACCGGTTCAGATAATCGCTGTCACTGGTGCTGGTGGTGGCCGTGAGTGGGAATCGAACTCGTGTCTCCGCCGGATTCGTGACCACCACTGCCCACACAAAGACAGACACAAACATAAAAACACACACACACAGAAACACACACAGTCACACACATAGAGACCACACAAAGACACACATACAGAGACACACACAGACAAAGATACACACAAAGACACACAAAGACACACGTAGAGACACACAAAGACACACACAAAGATAAACAGGGACCCATAGACTCACACAGAGACCCACCGACTCACACAGAGACCCACAGACTCACACAGAGACCCACCGACTCACACAGAGACCCACAGACTCACACAGAGACCCACCGACTCACACAGAGACCCACAGACTCACACAAAGAATGCAACCTTCACCTTGTTACCTGGTCACCAACAGCACACTTTTATGAGATGTTGTATGACTCTTAAATGTAATTACGAGTTCCAAGTCCTGAGTCAAGGTCATACACACTCTCTCTCTCTCTTTCATAACTGCAGAGAAGTGAGGTTTACGATGGTCGTGTTTGCACCACAATCAATGAGTGTGAGTGGATGTGCGGAGAGCGGTGGCGCAGCGGTTAGCGCTGCGCTACGAGCCCAGGAGAAACCCGAGTTCGATTCCAGCCCATGGCCAACACCACTAACACCAGTGACGATTGTCCGACCCCGGTCTTGGGGACTCTCCTATGTAAACTTAGCCTCAAATAGAGACACAGAGAGAAACATAGACTCACACAGAGACCTGTAAACGTCGCCACTGGGGAGACAAAGGCGGCCGGGCAGGCATGATGCTGGACCCCCCCCCTCGTGTGCCGTGCCGGCCTTAGTAGGCGCTGCCACTCACTGCTAACAGCAATTGTCCCAACAGTCTGTGAAGGCTGTGCGAGCGATGGTTGTCTTTGTGTTCATATTCTTAGGTTTTTTCGGTAAAGTCACGTAGGTAAAAAATTAAAATGAAAATTAATAAAAGTAAAATAAAAGAAAAAAAGAAAAATCACGACGTTTCGGAGGCAACACAAGCTTCCGTCTTCAGGTGGAACCGTCACAGCACGCTTGCTTGATACAGCTATCATGCTGTGACGGTTCCACCTGAAGACGGAAGCTTGTGTTGCCTCCGAAACGTCGTGATTTTTATTTTTTTCTTTTATTTTACTTTTATTAATTTTTATTTTTATTTTTTATCTACGTGACTTTACCGAAAAAACCTAAGACTATGAATTCTTGGAGTCACGAAAGCTTCAAATCTAGAATTGTCTTTGTTTGGATGTGTGATTGGGCATGTCCGCCCCTGTAAGGTCAAACAATGAGCAACATCGATTCCTTGGGGGGCATTCGAGGAATTTGTTTGCCTGTTTGCTAACGGTTCTTCGGGGTTATTTAAAAATCGGCTGATCGTGACATTTCCTCTTCTCTGTGCCCGTCAGGGCGCTTGAGAACGTGCGCGTGTTTTGTCATGCCCGCTTCACAGTACGTCACACGGAGTGACTATTCACAAACTCATAGACTCAACACTGCCCATAGACTCAACACTGCACCATAGACTCAAGAATGCCCCATAGACTCAGCACTACCCATAGACTCAACACTGCCCATAGACTCAACACTGCACCATAGACTCAACACTGCACATAGACTCAACACTGCACCATAGACTCAACACTGCACCATAGTTTTTTTTTTCTTCTTGTTTCTTTCGGTAAAGTCACGTAGAAGGGAAGTAATAAAATAATAAAAATAAAACATAATAAAACAATTCTCACGACGTTTCGGCTACAACGCAAGCAGCCGTCTTCAGGTGAAGAATGAGACACTACCAAACTAGGAGCTTATATATAAGCTGCATTGGGGGTTGAAGAGCGCCTTAACAAAAAGAATGTGCATGTGAAGAGGGATTTAGCATATTCATGGAAAATGCGTAGGCGTTGGGCGGGGGGGTGTCAAAGTCATATTATGCCCATGCATTATGCAGGATCAGCAGCAACCAAGGGGGGTGCAGGGATTAGCAGTAACAAAGGAAAGGAATGTTAATGATATGTAGCTGCAGTTACTCAACAACCACGTAGAAAACTAAAGTATAAACTACATATAGACTCAACACTGCACATAGACTTAACACTGCCCATAGACTCAACACTGCCCGTAGACTCACCACTGCCCATAGACTCAGCACTCGTGTCTCCGCCGGATTCGTGACCACCACTGCCCACACAAAGACAGACACAAACATAAAAACACACACACAGAAACACACACAGTCACACACACACAGACACAGACTCACCCATACAGACACGCACAATCACATACAGAGACACACACAGACAAAGATACACACAGAGACACACAAAGACACATACACACAGACACACGCAGAGACCCATAGACTCACACAAAGAATGCAACCTTCACCTTGTTACCTGGTCACCAACAGCACATATAGACTCAACACTGCACCATAGACTCAACACTGCACCATAGACTCAACACTGCACCATAGACTCAACACTGCCCATAGACTCAACACTTCCCGTAGACTCAACACTGCCCATAGACTCAACACTACCCATAGACTCAGCACTGCCCATAGACTCAACACTGCCCCTGGCCTCAACACTGACCTTAGACTCAACACTACTCATAGACTTAACACTGCCCCATAGACTCAGCACTGCCCATGGCTCAACACTGCACCATAGATTCAACACTCCCCATAGAAGGGATTTCACACCTGATGATGAGTGTTTGTGTTGCAGTCGAAACGTCGTGAGAATTTTATTGTTTTAAATATTTATTATTTTATTATTTCCCTTCTATGTGACTTTACCGAAAGAACCAAGAATATGAATCTCTGCAGTCACGAAAGCTTTAAACAAAAAAAAACTGCACATAGACTCAAAACTGCCCATAGCCTCAACACTGCCCTTAGACTCAACACTGCCCACACACTCAGTAATGCACCATTAAGCTCAACACTGCGCCATATACTTAACACTGCAGCATAGACTCAACACTGCCCTTAGACTCAACACTGCCCATAGCCTCAACACTGCCCATAGACTCAGCACTGCACCATAGACTCAACACTGCTACCCATAGACTCAGCACTGCTACCCATAGACTCAACACTGCTACCCATAGACTCAACACTGATACCCATAGACTCAACACTGCTACCCATAGACTCAACACTGCTACCCATAGACTCAACACTGCTACCCATAGACTCAGCACTGCTACCCATAGACTCAACACTGCTACCCATAGACTCAACACTGATACCCATAGACTCAGCACTGCTACCCATAGACTCAACACTGCTACCCATAGACTCAACACTGCTACCCATAGACTCAGCACTGCTACCCATAGACTCAGCACTGCTACCCATAGACTCAACATTGCTACCTATAGACTCAACACTGCTACCCATAAACTCAACACTGCACCATAGACTCAACACTGCACTATAAACTCAACACTGCACCATAAACTCAACACTGGCCATAAACTCAGCACTGCTCCTAGATTTAACATCATTGCAAATACAAAGATCGCCCCTATATAGCCTCAAATGGCTTTTGGGGCAAGTGTGGTTAGCGAGTGGCAGCACCTATGAAGGCCGGCATTGTGCAGGGGGGGGGGGGGGTGGGGGGCTAACAGCGATGTTTACTGCACACCGCACCGGGTACCGATTTGAGACTAAGTCGACCTCGGTGGAGTCCCAGGAC